AAGGAAGGAAGGAAGGAAGGAAGGAAGGAAGGAAGGAAGGAAGGAAGGAAAGAAGGAAGAAAGAAAGAAAAAGACAAGTCTGTGAGTAAAAATAAGAGCTGCCCCAATGGGGACCCTTCTACTGGAACTGGCAATTGGGTAATATATCTCAGGCACTATACTAAGCACCACTCAAATATTATGTCAGTTGATACCAGGAATGTTCATGGACAAATTTTCTCCCAAGTAGGAATGAGAATAAGGTTCATAAAACAAAATGGAATTAGAGTTAAAGACATGTAACAATACTCAATCCTTGGCATAAATGCTGCCCTAATGGTCCAATAGTCTCTCTGAAGCTACAGGTATAGGGAGCTCCACCTATAGTAGGTAGCTTTGGGGAATGAGAATCAGAATTAAATCTTAAAACTATCATAACCATATCTTCTTTGCCTCTGCTATGGATCCAAAATGAGTCTTTGGATTTTTAATATTTCAGAGTCATGTAAAAGAGATATAAATTCTGAAAATACAAGACAACTCTAAATCAGAATGAAAAAAGCTTAGTCTAATTCTTCCCTTTATTGAATCTTAATCCTAATCAGAGTTTGAGCCTTTCCCAGTTATGAAAGGCTCTGAATTTTCCTGATCTTGTGATATTGGTCCAAATGAGAAAATTTGGGCTAAGTTTCAATATATTCCTTTTAGTGTTAGAGGATCTGACCTCCTTGTATAATTGTCCCTGAGCTAATGTCATCTCTTCCAGGTCCCAGAAATAAAGATTCCACGGTGGTCTTGGGCATTCAGAATATTGACTCCTTCTAAGATATCAGCAAGAAAAACATAAGATATTCAGAATGTCAAGTACAAATAAGACTAGTGTGCATCCTACCAGTTTCTTCCTCCATGGTATTCCAGGTCTGGAAGCTGCCCACATTTGGATTTCCATTCCTTTCTGCCTGGTGTACATGATGGCTGTTCTAGGGAACAGTACCCTTCTATTCATCATCAAATCTGACCATAGTCTGCATGAGCCCATGTATCTCTTCCTCTCTATGCTCTCAGTGGCAGACTTAATTCTCACCACTACCACACTCCCCAAGATCCTCAGCCTTTTCTGGTTCAATGATAGGGAGATAAGTTTTGAAGCTTGTCTTACACAAATGTATTTTATTCATTCACTGTCCACCATGGAGTCTGGATTCATCTTGGCCATGGCTTTTGACCGCTATGTGGCTATCTGCAACCCCCTTAAACATTCAACTATTCTCACTCACACAGTTGTTGGAAGCTTAGGCCTAGCCGTTGTATTTCGTGGAGCTGTGTTGCTCAGTCCTCATCCATTTCTACTGTGGTGGCTTCCCTATTGCAAGATAACTATCATCTCACACACATACTGTGAATTCATGGCCCTGATCAAGCTGGTCTGTGCACCTACCAGGATTCAAAGAGCTTATAGCTTAATTATTGCCTTCCTTACAGGTGGTATGGACTTTATATTGATTATGTGTTCTTATGTCCTTATTCTACGTGTTGTATTTAACTTGCCCTCTAATGATGCTAGGCTTAAGACACTGGGCACTTGTGGTTCTCATGTGTGGGTAATTTTGGTATTCTATACTCCTGCCTTCTTCTCCTTCCTTACACACAGGTTTGGGCACCACATTGCTCACCATGTCCATATTTTTGTGGCTAATATCTATCTTCTTATCCCACCTATGTTGAACCCCATCATCTATGGAATTAAAACCAAACGCATCAGACAAAGGTTCCTCAAAGTGTTTGTAGTGAAATATGTCTAAGCATGGAAATTGATGAAATCTCCTGAATGAGTTATTTGGATAAGTGATGTATCAGCACCTGAGCAGTACCAATAAAACAGGAACTCCCGGTTCATTTTTTATGGGTTAAATATTATATAAAATAATTGTAAATATAGTAGAATTGTACAACTTAAAAACATTCAGATAGCACTGATTATAGCAGTAATGGTGACTGGGTTGGTCTTGCTGAGTGATTAGTGTTGGGGACAGGAAACTCAAACACAGAAGTCACCTTTATTCTATGTTTTCTGCATAGTGGAGCTACCTTGAGAATCCTGTATGCAGACTCTTGTAGCAGTGACACATAGATTTCAAGTCAAAGATTGAATAATCTCCCAGGTTCCCAAATTGCTTGAAATTTAATCTAAGGGAGTCCTTAAAGAGGAACTTCTGCCTGATGGGTATAATGCTATCCCTCTATATTCCTCTAGTAGTATAGTAGCTCTGCTTTCTTTCCAGGAAATTAGATATAACCCAAGGAAGGGGAATAGAATATGAACATCCATGGAAAGGTAACAGTGTGTTTTGAAAAACAACAACAACAACAACAATACTGGATTTAAGGTTAAAAGATTGAAGTTTGAATTGTGGTTCTCAAATGTTTTAATTTTATTTCTCTCTGACCTTCAGTTTCTTCATTTACAAATTATGTAAGTAATACTGTTTATCTTTGGGGAAGAAAGCATTTTGTATAAAATATCACATAAATATAAGCTCTTAATACTATTTTTAAAATGATGATAGCAATGATAAATTTCTTTATTAATATTATTATTAATAGTGGTAGTGGTGGCATTATCAGAAGTATTATCATTTTTATTATCCTGGAAGGTTTTTAGGGACACAAAATGAGAAGGAAATTGTGAAATAGAATATCTAATCCCAGTCCCTCTTACTGAGGAAGTACATGTCTCCTTAGGTATTACTGTATGATTATTTGCAAGTCATTTGGCCTCTTTGATCCCTACTATTCTTCTATGTTAACCTGCCTTACAGGGTTGTTATTTGTTTTAAATATAATTAAGGACATGAAAGCATTTGAGAATAATGAAGTGCTATACAACTCACTGGTAGAACCAGAAAACTCAGTGAATCAAGCACAGAGAAACGCAGATCAATTACCAAAATAAATTCTTATTAGCTCTCACAATGTGTACTTTAAAGATAGTTGTAGTATTTCAAAGAGATCCAGTACTCTGAGTTCCTTAATAATTACTGAGACTATTGCAAATTTATTTGTATTATGGACCCAACTTGCCTGGATATAAAGTTATCACAGATATAAACACAAAATTAATCAACAAAAATGAATTGAAAATATAGCTAAAGGAAGAAGAGATATGAATGGGCTAGAGCTAGCATAAAGTTCTGTTCTGGGAATCAAGTATGGAGTATAGATAACTTGGGGCTTCCTGAGAGTAAAGGTAATGGAGGAAATATGTTGTCCTGAAACATTTAGACACTATCAGCTCATAACCAAATGATCAACTTGAGAGTTTGGGGATAATGGCTTCTTTTATGTTTATATATGTCTTTGCCCATCAATTGAAGACCTATAGAGTGAATAATACACAGAGGTAGAATGATTTAGTGGTAATAACACCAGGCTCAGAATCTAAAGATTTGGGTTCAAGTTTGAAAATTAATATTCAATAACTGTGTGACTCTATTTGCCTTGCTCTCTGACTTCATTTTTCCATCTATTAGATGAAGACAAAAAGAGCGGTATTATACATTTTATAGAGTTAGTACAATAGAAATTCTTTGTAAGATACAAAGCACTAGATTACATGGGAACCAGCATTATTAGTATTATGTGTTCAATAACCATTTATTGGTTGGATAGATTACCTGAATCTTTTTTTTTCTCACATTCAAAGGAAAGGTCTTGGGCTGCTGCCCCTACTTACCCTCTTCTAATCTCCCATTCTAGTCAGGGCAAAGCTAAGGGATAGGATAATATGTTACATAAGAACTGATCTTTATACGAGTGGTTCTTGTGTTTCTGTCTGAAATGATTAAATTAATATTACCTTGGGTTTCTCCCATATTGATTTCTAATGTATTGATTCTACAATGTAATTGATCTTGTGCTTTATTGATTTTTGTAATTTAGTCTGCATCTGCCTAAAGCTACCTTTCTATGTCCTTGAGTTAAATTCAGAAATTTAGCTTTTCCTCTGGGTTAGTTTAAAGGTATAATTAAAAGAAAAGTTGTTGTTTCTTATACTGGTGGACACTGGGATACATCCAGAATGTCTGATATCCTTAAACTCCACAAGTTAACTTGGTACTATCCCCCAAAGATGTGTTGTCTTTCTTTGCCTGTCCATGTGCAATTAGGGCAGTATTGTCTCTTCTAAGGAGACAGAAACTCTGGTAGTTTTGATGCCCTAGCAAAGATTTCGAGAATTTGATGGGTTTCACAAAATTATTAACATGCTTTAATTGTTAGAGAGGAGTGTTATTAGTTTCATCTGAATGTCAGCCCACCTTTCTTAGTATACCTAAATGTAATGTTGCTTCCCTGATGCTGCAACCTATCACTTCTCCACAATTACTAAGACCCCATCTTTGCTGTGTGTCAACAAAGATGGTCCCCTCCTTCTCACTGGGGGGTCACTGGCTTTACTGAGGTTGCCAGTGTGACATTGTTAACAGTTACATGTGTCACTGTTAATAAACTGATTTTGTTTCAACCTTGTACCTCAACCTACCTTCATTAAGTTTACTCCAGACATGTCGAAAGGAGCTAAGACTATGGACTCATGGCTTTCTCAGTATTCCTTTTGCCCAATTATGTCTTTAAGTAGAGACTGGATGATTACTTATCAGACATATTGTAGAGGAGATACCTATTAAAGTATAGGTTGGATTATATGGCTTTTGAGATGCTTCTTATGTCTGACATTCTCGGATTCTCATTCAACTATCCTCATATGCTTATAGTACAGTGTATGGAGATCAATTTCTTCCAGAATACAGAGTGGTATATCCTATATATATATTGTGTATGTTTATGTATATATACATACAAATGTACTCAAGGAGTTTACAATCTAACACAAAACATATGTATACATAATTATATAATATATATAATTGTCCAAATATAAAATATATGAATAACACATATTATATAAAATGTATTATATGTAATTGGGGCAGTTAGATGGTAGAGTGGATAGAGTTCTAGACCTGAAGTAAGAAAGACTCATTTTTGTGAGTTTAAATCTGGTCTCAGTACTTACTAGCTATGTGACCCTAGGAAAGTCACTTAACCCTGTTCATCTCAGTTATTCATCTATAAAATGATCTAGAGAAGGAAATGGCAAACCATTCTGGTATCTTCATCAAGAAAACACAAATGGGATCATCTAGAGTTAAACACAACTATATATGAGTGTGTTATACTGTAACATTCTTGAAAGCAGGATTGTCTTTTGCCTTTTTGTATTTCCAGTACTTGATGGGTAGTATATAGCAATACTTAATAAATGTTTAATGATTGATTGATATATATGTACATTTTTAATTCTTCATCATTAAAATAAATTTACTTTGACAAGTAGTCATTTTTTTCCAAGTCTAGAATTGATCATAGCCCCAAAAGTTTTATTAAGGTTTCAATCAGGCAATTATCCAGGCCAATTAAGCATGGTTATCTCCATCTCTTGGATAATTTATTAATTTTCATATATATATATTTTATATATTTTTATATATATTTTATATACTTTATATATATATATTTTTCATATATATACACACATATATAGTGTGCATATATGTATATGTATATATGTGTACATGTATGTATATACACATGTACACCTGCACATGCATGCACATGTATGTATGTGTCTCAAGGGCATATTGCAGAATTTTTTATCTCAGTTTGAGAATTTCTGTAATGCTGAAACAATTTAGCTTCTCACTATATAAACATATCAGAGTTAAAAAATCTGACAAAATATCATATCTGATTCAAAGAGTACAGCATCATGAAAGGGCAAATGGCAAGATTACATATAGAGATATCGAATATATCTATCACGTCCAATATATGTCTTCTCTTCTCTAGACTAAAATAACTAGTTTGAATCAACTTGTGTCATAGCATACTCTCTTTTGTTGGTGTGAGGGGCACAGTGGATAGAGTGCTAAGGCCATAAGGTGGGAAGACTCATTTTCATAAGTTTAAATCTTACCAGCTGCTGTATAGACCCTAGAAAAGTCACTTAATGCTGTTTGCATCAGTTTCCTCATCTATAAAATGGGTTGTAGAAGGAAATGCCAAATCACTCCAATATCTTTGCCAAGGAAACTCCAAATAAGGTCATGAAAAGTTGAACACAACTGAACAACATTATTTTTAAAATTAATTAATTTATTTTTAACATTCTTTTCTTTTTAAATTTTGAGTCATAAATTCTTTTCCTTCCACACTCATCCCTACCACACCCACTGAGAAGGCATGAAATATGATGACAAATATACATGTAAAATCATGCAAGACATTTTCACATTAACCATATTTACAAAAAAAGTAAGATAAAGAAAGAAAGAAAGAAAATTGTACTGAAATTTTCACTCGGAGTTCATCAATTCTCTCTCCAGAGGGGAATAGCACTTTTTCAACATGAGTCATAGGGAATTGTCTTGGGTCATTGTATTCATCAAAGTAGCCAAGTCTTTCAAAGTTCTTCATCATTGCGACATTGCTGTTAGTATGCACAATGGTCTCCTGGTTCTTTTTCACTTTGCATCAGTTCATATAGGTTTTGACATATTTTTCTGAATCCACTCCCCCATAATTTTCAACAGCACAATAGTACTCTATCACAATCATATGCCACAACTTGCTCAACCATTCCTCAATTGATAAACTTATTCTCAATTTCCAGTTATTTTCCAACAGGAAAAAAAAGAGCTGCTATAAATATTTTTGTGCAAATAGGTCCTTTTCCTTTTTCTTT